CTGCCCATCTGCCCCGGACTCTCCTCTCTGCTCCATTTGCCAAGATACATCCCTCTTTCCCTCCTTTCCACTGATGACCAGAGCAGCCAGGGATCGCAAAACTGATGCTGCAGGGAAACCTCTGCTGCTGACCTCAACAGGGAACAGCCACGCTTTCTGTTTTTTGTAGCTAAACTTGAGGTGAGGTTTGCTCTGTAACTGCACAAGACATCCTGTAACTGTTTGTCAAAAAGAAGAACAGTAACCTGCAAAAGAAAGCAGTGGCACTTTAGAAATACCTCTTACGTAGACTTTATTCCACAGCTGACGTTTCAGGCAATAGTCTTTCTTCAGAGCTTGCAAGTTATTAATTGGATCGATTGATTGATTACATTGATTACATACATTTCATAACAGAACTGTCCTGATACAGCACTCTCTGTCTTAGCTGCCAAAACAAAAACTCAACATATTATTCTTGTTTTTACCGAGAGGGAACCAGCAGGCTTACCACCTGTTGGAAACATAATGAGAGTTAGTGAATTGAAATAAGAAAACGTGTAAATTGGATGTTTTGAATTAACTTATTTTTACATTGATTGTATAATCTTAAGGACACTGAGATTGTTCACTTACCTGATATTAACCTGATCACGATGCTCCTCCTGCGATGTCCATGATTTAAATGCTTGTGTGTGAGTTAGAAGGCGGAGAGCAACAGTTTTCCGACAACATCGCTTTTCAGGAAGTTAGTTTGAATGGAATGTATAGATCAATAAATTATATTTCACTTATTTTGAATGGACTATATGTCAGTACGTGCTTCGTGTGTGAGCAACTCCCCACCTAACTTCAGGTGGCTTCATAGAACATTTAGATATACATTAGCCACTTCACCATCCTTTCACCCTTGGCACTGTGGACTATCGCCTGTGGCTCAACTGCTTTTTTAATAATGCACCTAACTGATGGTAAATCTCACATGCTTCTAACCCAAACTACCCTGAGATACCATACAGAAACTCTTCCACTTAGGGCAACTGCTTCTCCCTCACCTGGGGCAGTTTATGAACCCATAAACATGACATCATCTGGACACAGCAGAGATGCCAGGCTTCTGTCACCAAGGTGGACGCTCTCCAGACCTTGGACTGACATCCTGTCTACTATGAATGAAAAGCGGGGCAAGGTGCATCCTTTTAAGAGTCCAAACTAGAGAATCTGAATATACCTCTTCCTCCTCTTTCTGCTAGCTTACAGGGACCAAATGAGTCATGGCACGAGGAGTACCTGTGAGGAAATACCACATAGTTTGGTCATAGTATTAGTAGTAGTTGGTTTTTAGTTGGTCTTTTCAGTGTTAAACAGACAACAAAAACCAGCACACGCATTCTACACTTTTCTTTATTACAGAAACAGCATTGTCTATATCATTTTATCCATTAGCAGCTGTTTCAACACACCCCAGATGTCCAGGGATGGTGTGATAGGAGTGAATTTAGTAACACACACACACACACACACACACACACAGAGACAGACTAAAAGAGGCAGGTTATAGCGTCTGGGAACACACACACTAACAGCAGAGATGGACTTGGATTCAGTCCAGACTGCCTGCCGCGCCAACTGTCAGTCATATTACACCACTAACAAAAAATGCAATAAGTACCAGCTAATTAAATCAACTTGGATACACTCTTAGAAACTAATACCACCTCACAGCTTATATTTCTGTTTTTGTGTCACCGTCATCCAACACTGTTGAATCGATTGCTTTTATACCTGCTTCTGAACACTTCTGTCATTTACTGAAACACACACACACACACACACACACATGCTCAGGCTGACGGGAAGGCAGAGATGTCCACACAAACACAGATGCCAAAACCCGCGCGGTCAGTGACCCCCAAGGCAGCATGGTGTACTGTAATTAAAGTACATTAGCACATGCGCCACAACTGTTTCTTTCCTTCACAGTTCAGGACGAAGGGTTATAAAGTGTTTCCCCGATACAGTATTCTGTATCATTATATCCCTCTGCTCTCGTTTGATGTGCTGATCTTCAATCAGCCTGCAGTGGAGGGGTGAGGAACATCAGAAAGCTTTGCACTCTTGCCAACTCGGGTTTCAGGATGCTGTAACTTTTTGAACTTTAAGCTGTTTCCTTGGGATTTTCTACTTGTGGGAAAGAACTTTATTCCTAGTGACAGGTGACCGGAAAGAGAAGTGGCGGAGAGCGAGTGCTGATCGTGGAAATGGGTAAACTGTCAAAGTTAAGAAGAAGGATAGCAATAGAGCTTTTTCACAGCTGCCATTTTGGCATAAAATAGTAGGATAAACACAGGTGTTACCAATGATACTAATTAAGGTTCTGTTCCATTTAGTGTATCAGAGTCTTTAAAGTGAGCCAACATGCACAATAGCGGCTCCTTGACTCTGTTTTACCTGAATGGAACCTTAATTAGTATCACTGATTGAATGTTTACCCTGCTATTTCATGTCAGAATACCTCTTGTGAAAAAGGTTTTGAAGTGCAACAATTCATTTGAGAGAGAGTGAAAACTGGTTGGCAAGCAAGTCAAACAGTTAGCTAAAGGTAATGAAAATGTTGAGAAACCTCCATACTCCTTGCAGAATAATATTTCTTATTTTAGGCCCTTATAAGCAAACTAATTAAGATCTTAAAACAGATATTGACACAGTTTTCTCTACAAGACCAAGACAACAAAATTATAAAATCAATTAATTAAACCTGAGCCCTGGGACCCCTGGGGCAGTCACCAGGCGTGTTGGGTAATGATCTGCAAAGCAATTTTATCATTTTTAATCCTAAAAATCAAATGTCTTGGATCAGTACAACAATCTGTGAATGTAAATAGTTCCTCTGCATTAAAGGCAAGAGGTTCAGGAAATCGTGCAAACAACAATTTTCTGTTCTCATGGGGCAGTTACGATAGACATTACATCACTCATTAACATTCACAAACAGCGGTCATACCAGGGAAACTGGAACACATTATTTTTGTCCACCAGCAGCATACTTTCTGTTTTTTTGGTTGGTGAAAGAGAAAAATATCTGAAGGTCTGAACATGAAAAATGAATGCAGCCAGACAGAGATTTTGCAGTAAATGGACCAAACATGGTGCGCAAGATACAAGAGGGCATAAGAGTCTGTTTGGACTGGTTCCAAAGCATGTTGTGTATGTGGGTGTGTGTGTGGGGAATCAGGCCTATCCATGACGTTGTCCAGCCCGGCAGTGAAGAGTTGAGGTGCGGGCGCCAGGAAACTGCCCATGGGCCTCAGTGGGGAAGAACATCATGACACACACACACACACACTCGGTTTCTGTTGACCGCCGTGCAGAGTGAACACTTATTGTGGAAATGTAAGAATTCAAGCATATGAAGCCTTAGAAAAAAGTTGAACGTTAGACACAAAAACTAAACACTCTGCTGGACCGGGTAGTGGGCCGTGGACCACTGACGCTCTAGTTCCTTAACGGTTCTTGATTTCTATTTGAATTTTTTGAAATAAAAATTACATGAAAAAAACAACAATGCGACAAAACCCTCTCTCCGCCCCCAATCTCATCTCCCGCATGGCTGCTTTCACTTTCCTCACAGACAATGCCTTCTTCTCGACTGTTAACCACTTTCACTACCTAAATACCGACACACACACACACACACACCACACACACACACACACACACTTGTAGACACACCCTGCACACACAAAGGCAGTTATGACACAAATCATCCAGTTTACATCTATGGAAAAGCACGCCCTTACACACACACACAACACACACCACACATTATGCATGTGTGCACAAATGCAGCACACACTTAAAGCCAAAGAAGAAAAAGCAGCAATATCACTGTGGAACCATCCAAGATGCCAGCGGCACAGCTGAAGTGTGCACATCCTTTGATGTGAACCAGAGCAGGCAAGTAACAAACGCAATACCAAATACACCCTGCCTGCTGATCTCTAAAACCCATTGCCGCTTCGTACAAGGAATTTTTAAGATCGTGGTGTTGGTGTACATGAGAGTGTGTACAGAGTGTGTGCGTCAAAGTGTATATGTAGATATCTGTGATCTTTTCTTGCACAATCACAGTGTTAACACAGTGAAGTATGCATAAACGTGGCATGCAAGGTTGGATCTGCATGCCATAGAAGCCAAATTGCAATGATATGACTAGACGAGTGCATTGTGATGGGTGTGTGTGCTGTGTGATAGTGTGTGTGTGCTGTGGTGCATGTGCAGTGTGTAGTGTTGGAGGCGCAGCAGTTACAGCGCCGTAAGGAACTAAACCGCTGGCAGAGTAGGCGCCTGGTAAAAACATGTTCCTGGAGACCTTCTGCCGAGTTTGTCTTGTCGTCACGTCGTCCACAGTGGACTCCCCACTCTGCCTTCACAGCCGACGATGATCAGGTTGCGTCTTGGATTTCTATCTGAACCACCCTCTAATCTCATGACAGTTGAGCGTGAATGGAGCCACTTCTCAGCCCTGTAAGGTCACCCCCTCGCAGGAATTAGCACAACACATGTTTATGTGTCCCTCATTACCTTAATGTGTCTGAGGGTTTGGAGTGATACACTGAGTGACGGATGATACACTTTGAATCAAATATTGTGGTGACGTCGTGTTGCTGTAATTACGAATGTACTGTGGTTACTGTGACGTTTTGAAGAAACAAGCACTTTCCTCTTTCAGACTGAAACCGGCTGCTGCTGGAATATAGGTAAGGATAGATGATGCGTGCATTGAAGATTTGAGAAACAAAGCAGGATAATCAAAATAACTGCATAACTTTACCCCTAAACTGGAATGGCACGCTACGACAACTAATTCGTTAACAGAAATCATTACAACAGTGTAGCATAGGGTATTGTTTTATTTCACTCAAGCATTTTCCATCACGTTTATTAAAAAAGAGTTCAACGGCTTTGCATGCATGAGGCAAGAAAGCTATAAACAGTATATAAAATCATTACAAGCCAAAAATGTCACATAAAATATTAGAAAATGTTTAGTCATCATTATAAAATCACATTTAAATATAACAAAATGTTATTGGCACTGACAATGCAGCTCTGTATGTGAGTTATGAGTCAAACTAAGAAGACATGGTTTACATGACCCAGTACATCTTCATTACACAGAATATCTTCATTACACAGTACATCAAGTAAAACACAGGTGAGTCAGAAATAAGACAGCTGGACCATCCTGGTAGCCCAGAGGTAGAAGATGGTTTGAGTGCAGCCAGGGACCATTGTCACATGTTATCACTCCTCCATCTCCTCTCATTTCCTCTCTGTGCTCATATTCAAATAAAGGTCAAAATACCTGAAAGAAATAGTTTCTGAAGTAAAAGCTGCATTAGTGTCTGTGATGTGAGTCCATATGTGGATACGAGAACAAACCATCGGTGAAAGCCAAATAGAAGTTTGTTGTTGCTATGTCGTAAGTACTTAAAGTCTCTTTCTTAGGTTGTGCGTGGCTTGTAAACACAGGGTGATTTGGGGGGTATTAAAGGGGGTTGGCGTTGCATTGTTAAAGCCAAACACTCAATGTTAACAACGTTTTTTTTGCGGAAAAACTACATGTATACACGACAATTTGTCTCCCTGCATCCCCTTGTTAAAGCTGAACCAGTCATCCAGTGCTTGTAAATACCTGAGCAGCACAGCCGAGATAATGGGGATGATGAAGAGTGCTGCGGAAGGTTGAAGAAACTTTGTGGGTGTCTGGCGGCACTTAGTGGTGAACGCGTGCTACTGAGAGACTTCACATCACTCTGCAGCACTGAAGTCGCATAGCTGACATGAGCAAAAGGCATTTGTGGAATCTGTGCGAGACTTCAGTCTGTCTAACAAATGTGGCACATCACTGCAAATACTGATAATGATCCTGCTGCCAGTCAGTGACATACAAGCATTATGCAGCTTGTTTACAAACACATGTAAACACTTAGGCCTGCCAAAATGACTGAGTGATGTAATGGAAACTATGAATGCACTGGGATATGCTGTCTCACCAGGAATAGAGCAGTTGCAGTGCATTGTCAGTGTGTGTTTCTATCCAGGCACAATACTCAAAACAAAAAAACTGTGGTTTTATTTTACTGCTGAGACAAATGTCTCATCGTGTTTGTCTGCAGCATCAAAAACACTGAGACAAAATCTTTAGAAACAGACTCAAACTTCCAAGATGATTCCTCTTCAGTGGTGAAAAGTGACTGAGTGAATTTCCTGAACTTAAGCACAAATTTGAGGTACTTGTACTTTACCTGAGCATTTACTTTTCTTTCTTCTTCTACTTAACTTCATTTCAGAGGGATATACTGAGTACTTTTCGGTCCGCAGTTTATTAAATACAACAACTAACAACTAATTTGATCATTTTGTGTTTTTTTTTTATTAGTTTGATTTATTTTTTTAGTAATTTTGAGCTGTTTGAGCTGTTGGTTGCACAAGGTGTCACTTTGGGCTCTGGGTAATTGTGACGGCATTTCTCACTATTTTCGTATTTTCAATCAGTCGATTAATGTAGAAAATAATCAGCAGATTAATCCATAATGAAAATACTCATTAGTTGCAGTCCTATACAAAATTATTCATTTTAAACTTACAAAATAGATTTTACTTTCCTCCTCCACCACTGTTTGCAAGAAAATGCATTCAGAAAAATTTAAATGAAAATCCAGTTGCTGTTTAAAAGGTGAGTGAGGTATTTCTTTTTGTATTACAGGCACTTTGAATAAATTAAATTGGAGGACTTTCATGTATAGCTGTTTGTCCAGTTGTACATAACGATGAGATCCTTACATAATGACACACATCCTTGATGTCCACACAGATTCGCAGCCATGACCGTTCAGTTTGGGGTCGTTCAGTTCGTCAAACACTCCGCTGTCGATCATCTCCTTCTGCCACCTCACTGAGACTGCGCCTGTGCTAAACTCGTTGAAGAATTTCACGTCCCTGGCATCAAACTTAATGTTCTCAACCTCAGAGTTGTCCCTGAACTCATCTGTGTTCCTGGCATAGACCACGTTGGATTTTGGCACCCAGGGCGGCTCCACCAGCCCAGCCTCCAGACGATGGAAATTGATGCTCCGGAAAAACCGATGACTTCGTGGGTCTTCACCACTAGTATTAGAAAGACACAACTGATGTTTAATGCTTGAGTGGAGACTGAACATGGTGGTATAAAGGCAGAAGGCAGGTGGAATAATTGAACTGGGAAATAAAAGTGTTCATAATGGGTATTAAAAGTTGCTTCAGTTTTTAATATTCAGCGCTTTTCTAAACAGAGCTGCAATCAAAAAGGATCAAAACATCCACTGAAACAAGGGATGAAATAGCAAACAAGATCAACAGGTTAAATGAAAAGTGTTCTTACTACTAAAGTTCACAAATTGTACCTGATTACTACTCTCGAAAGAGGCTGTTCATTCGGATCCTTATTGTCCTTATTAATACACCGGTGAATTCATCATATAAATCCCTGCATTAGGTCGACCTGAGTAGACTAATCAGTTACAATTAATAAATGTAGCTGCAATAATCAGGGTCCAAGCAGGCTGTGACAAGAAGCACTTGCAAACACATACAAATAAATCAACACACTGGGCACCTGGGGATTCAAACCCTGGACCTTTGTGTCTGCAGAGCTGGTACTGACTGACTGCACCGCTGAGAAGACATTGCTTTCTACACACCTTCTCACAAGTCAGGCAACCCATCACATGTGTAGTAAGTGGAACATTTATCATTCAAAACTTGTTTTATGTTTTTGTGAGATAAAGGCAGTTTAGAACTTGAAGCTGAAGGTTTGAGGTGATAACAGAAGTTAATCATACAGGTATAATCACAGTGAGATGTGAGAGAGGGAGGGAGTGGGGTTTTATCAATTAGCAGATTGGGAGCGACTGTGTACCTCAGCATTATTTTGTCTTTTATCTTTTCTGAGTGCTGCTGTTAGTAGGGATCAAACTCACAACCTGTGGAACTAAAAGGGCACGTTGACAAGATCTTAAAAAAATGGACTTGATATATGTGGTTTTACACACAATCACAATGTGAAGCAATAAAATCACATACTGGGCTATTTCTGTTTAAACAATAAAGGTCCAGAGTGTAACATTAATGGGATCTATTGGCAGAAATTGAATATAATATTCATAGTTTATTTTCAATAGTGGATAATCACCTGAATATAGGAATCATTGCGTTTTTATCTACAGACACCGTAGGTCGCCTTCCATGGAGCCTATTCTCATTCGAAGGCCGTCAAATATGGACGCGAGCAGTTTTCAGTTAGTTGCAATCCGAAACGTCCCCGCTAAATGCCACTAAATCCTACACACTGGTCTTTTAAAACACAAAACACATGGCTAAAACATGTTTTTCTGCTTCCCTGTCCTGTCCAAACTGACCTCCGACCTACTGCAGGCTATACACTGACTATGAATTTGTATAGCTCATACAACCTCACTTCAAAAAACCCAAACTATCCCTTTATATGCTTTATATGCTTACTTACCGGCTCCCAAGGCGATGCAGCTGCTTCTTCTTGAGAAAGCGGCTGATGAGGTCTTTGGTGGGATCATCAAAGTTTTTGTCTTCAAACTTGCACTCGTCCTCCAGAGTGCGACGTGTCACCTCCTCATTGTGCACCTTTTCTCTGAAGTCTTTGAAAGGCAAACGGGCAGCCACCATCTCATAGATGCTGCAGCCCAGAGCCCACCAGTCCACGGATATGCGGTAGTTCTCCTGCTTCAGAATTTCAGGAGCCATGTAACCAGTCGTACCAGCCTGAAGGGGGGGAGACAGAAAGTGGGATGAGGGAGACTTCACAGAGATTTAAGTCTTCTCCATACTTGAATAACTTCAACAATATTTGCTGTTTTCACAATCTGTTTAGATATTCAGGTTAAATTCTGGGGACAAAGGTGAACCCCCTGGCATATTTATTGTGTTGTTACCTGCTTAGGGACTGTACAGAAATTATTAGAGAATGGAGGGCAGTTAGAAAAGGGAGAGGGTTTTGTATTCTTTGTTTTTGCTGAAGGGAGCAGGGGAGTAGGGTTGGGTTTGGTTTCCGGTTTTGCCTGTCCGATTTGGTGTATGAGCTTAAACTGGATTGATTTTGTGCACATCAACTGAACTAAATGAGACAAGAAGCAGACGAGTTGCAGAGTCAAGAGTTGTCTTCATGGTAAGCTGCTAACTAGTTTGTGAAATAAATTGACGGTACATTCAGAAACATAGCAGATGTACGAAGCCACACTGCTCCTGTTTGACCTGTTAAAAATACTGTATTACACTGTTAATCAACACTGTATCTGTTTCAAAGTAAAATACCTCTTTTTATTGTGAAACTTTAACATTGACTTTAATTGGGAAAACATTTCTAGGAATGTGTTAAAACCTCCACTCTCATTCATGGCTCTCATTATGTCATCCACTGTTTACGTTGGCCTAATCCTACAGAAAAGAAAAAAATACAAAAATAATAAAACTTATTATACCCCTATCATAAAAAAGTTAAATAAAGGATAAACCATCTTTAATGTTTTATGTTTTGCTTCTTTGAGTTATTAATGGTGAATTGAATTGTAGATATACTGTTGTATTATTTTGAGATATAAGGGAATGGTACTAAAAAATAATGTTGTGGAGGGTCTTGATTGACAAAAAACATGTTTCTAGTCTTTTGTCAGACTTTTATCCATCTTTCCTCCTGAATTAATAGGTTATTTCATGTCTTCAGCCCTCAAACAATAAATCTTCAGCTGAAGAGGTCACGACCAGTAATGTCTACTGGTCGTGAAGATTACCTAATGCAATTAGGTTTTAGATGATAAGGGGGTCTCATGCAGACATTGATTTATTTTGAGTTGTCATAAGCCAAAACCACCCGGCCTCGGGAACCACTGCTATAACCTGTAGCAGAGTAGACGATGTGTGTGTAACTTTGTATTAGTCTTTATGTCCTGTTGGTTTAGCTCGTTTAGTGCCCTTCTGTATGTTGTGACCTGCAAAGGGACTAAAATGAACTTTTAAGATAACTCTGGTACAATTCATCAAATGATAACATTTAACATTAATATTATACATTGTCCCTCACAAATAACATAAAAAAACTAAAAAGATATATATGTGTGCTAGTCACTTAAAAATGCTAATGACTCTCCCACAAAAAGATGTTAAATTATATTTAAATTTATGTAGATGCAAAATCAATATGATGTACTATCTTCTCAAAGTAGGACGGACATTGATGAATCCAGAAAGGATGATCTAGTCTGGTAAATAATTCACCTTTTTAAAGTTCATATCAGTTATTTACAGCAGACTATTTTGCGTCCACATGATGAATTACAAGATTAAATAATAAAACATGGAGACAAAAATACAGACACAAGAATGTGAAAATGGAGGTCTAACAATAAGATACTGTTACAAATAAATAAATAAATAATGCTGCATTAACTGCCCTCCATCAGCCCGGTCAGCTGACAAATGACATTATTGTTCACTCTGTATCCCGTCCAGTGAGCGGAGGCCTCGTCTCCTTGTACATCCCCGAGGAGGCCATATTTGGTATTAGTAAAGCAAAGATTAACCAACTAATGCAAACACATTCAGTAAGTCTTCCATACGTCTCTCAGTCGGTGCAGCATCCAACTGGGGAGGTCAGACACCTTTTAATGAGATTAATTTGGGTCACACAGGGTTGTCAGCGCAGAACTAAGAGCCGTCATATCTATTCCTGGTAAGCTACTTGGTGGTGGTGGGTGAACAAATACAGTGTGTTAAAAAGAGAGCAAATATAGACCATGGAGTGCAAAACAGTAAAAATATCCGACAGCAAGCAAACAACATATAGACTACAAAAATAACCCCTCTCAATCATCACTTACGACCCATTACTAGTGTGTGGTGGTGTCTGTATCTGAAGAGACCCTTCCCTCTGCCTGTATTTTCTTATTTTGATGTTTGTATGGGTGTCAACCTTTGGACGCTGGGTGTGTAGCCCCCAGCCAATAACAGCACACATATCCAGATATCCAGATCGTATGCGTTGGCATGTGATTCTGGTGTCAGTGAGTTAGGGAGGAGCATCCAGGGGAGGAAGGGGTCAACTTTCAATGTTGTGTTTACAAACTGCAACCGATCCAAGGACAGGTCACCACACTGACCTTCTGGCAGATTGTTTTGCCCTTTGGTAGCTCCACGGCTAATCCAAGGTCTGACAGCCGACACTGTCCTTTAGCATCCAGCAGAACGTTCTCAGGCTTCATATCCCGGTACACGACGTCCATAGAGTGCAGGTGGAGGATCCCAGTGGTTATCTGGGCCGTGTAGTAAATAACACGCTCCATACGGATACCCCGCTTCCCCAACTCATAGATATGGAACCTGAGGTCTCCTCCGTTCATAAGGTCCATGACCAGGCACAGGTGGGTATTGTCGTTATAAGCATAAGCCAGGTTTACAATGAAGAGGCTATTGACCTTCTCCAGGATCTGCTTCTCCAGAAGGGCAAACCTCTCTCCACCTTTCTTTTTCAAGCGACTCTTATTCAACTTCTTGCAGGCGTACATCTGGCCCGTATATTTCACCTGCACAGCACACACCTGCAACAGAGACAAGTTTTATTTCTTGGTTGTCCTCTGTTGGTGACATCCTGAAATATGTCTCTGCTCCTTTTATAAAGCAAGAAAATGTACATTTTATTGAACAGTGGCCACTATGTAATAAATGTTATAACATAACATAACAGTTAACGCAAGTTTAGAAAATCATCATTGTAAGCTAACATTAGCCTCCGTAAGCTAAGGTCATACCAGGTGAACTGTAGTATGTTAGTATATTAAACTGAGTAAGGGTGTGTTTAATTGCTCATGAATTCAGATTTTCATTTGTAAGAGAAATAATGTTATTTCTTTTTCAATTAGTTGCGAGTCCATCAAGCAATCTTGAGATTCACATGTTTATTCAGATGCTGGGTATTTCTGACACCTACCTCACCAAAGCCACCTTTTCCCAAAGTCCTGAACTCATAAAAGTATTTGTTAGTGATCTTCTGCTTTTCGTACTCCTTCCACTGCAAGAACCTATAAAAAAAGGGGCTTTTCAGGAACTCTAAGAAAGGGTTCCCCCTCAGGAAGTCCCTTGTTGCTTCTTTTATCTGCTCCAACGCCCCCTCATCAAAGTTCTTGTTTGATAAGTTCTTGCATATTTCAGCCGCCTCTCCTGTGAGGTAGGAGAGAAAACTCTTGGACCCGGGTTGACAGAACTTAGCGAGGATGCTCTGTTTGGCCTTCTCTCTGGCTTCATTTTCAGCAAATCTCCAGTGACTCAGCTCCTCTAGGAACTCAGCAGCGGCCACATATTGCAGGTTAGAGGCCAGGAGAAATTCCTGGAACAACTTCCTCCCAATAGGCTGCTGCTCGCACACTGACTCGTAATTCCTGTCCACAAAGAGACCAGAGGAGTTCTTTGGTTTTGGCAGCGTCAGCGAGACTCTCCGCTTCCTCAGCTCATCGTAGTCTACCTGCTGAGCTTTGAGGTAGGCGGTGTTGGCCACCAGGTTGTCCAGGCCCACCAGGTCACTGGATGTATCCTGTGACATACCAGGGCCTGATCCACTACAACACTATAGTTCACTCATCTGCAGATTCCAGGCACAACTGAGCTCCTCAAGTACCCAAACATCTTGAACATCCTCCACCTCTTGTGCTACGTCTCTGGGAGCATTGAGAGTACCGCTTAGGGATTTGTTGGTAGCTAAGTGTCTTTGCGCGCTTATTTGTAGATGGCAGTAAGAGAAAGCAACTTATGTGGTTTGAACTTAAGAGGCTTTAGGCTCGTCTATTTTTAGATGATGCCAAGTGCTTGTGTGCAGTAATTGGCCTGCCAGCACGACATGATTAGGTGGCAGATCTTGACCTCAACATGTTATGGTTGATTGTAGCTTGTTATGAGATAAAGAAACACATTGAGAGAGCTGTTTGTGTATAATATGTACAGTATGCAACAACGTGTGCACACGTAATTGCTAATTATAGCTTTGTATAGCTATATATATATACTTTACTAAATGAGCCCTAATTAGTTAAGCACCCTAAGAAATACATTTTCCTGAGCTGTTGGGGGAGTGAAGGTTGCACACTGAATACTTACATTTATATATTTGAAAACTACATCTTCATCTTTATTCTTATGCTGGTTTTAAACTGAAGACCATTTTTGAATACCCGCATAAGAATCGCAGTTCATTACAATAACCCTGCAATAGATGTTACAGCTGAAAAGTTCTTGAGGTTGTGTCAAAGAAATGTTTTAAATCTTTGCTTCACAAATGTAGTAATGGAGTATTTATTAAGTGAGAAGAGTTCAGTGTCAACAGGTATTTCTATTTTATTATCATTAATACCAATTATAGCTACAACGGTGAGTGGGTTAATGGAACTTTGATGATCAGTTAATTAGTTAAAATACATATTCAGACAGACCAAATGATAATAAAATAACAGGTAGATTATTTGATAATGAAAATAACTGTTAGTTGTAGCCTCACTAGTTTAATGCCAATGAAATACAGATCCTGCTGATGTGGAATTTGCTGGAAGACGCTTCTTGTTAACTTCCCCCACAACTTGAAGCAGCGACCTATCGGTCATTAGCTTCATGTCTAATTGAATTACTCCGATCAGTCTTCACCACTTCCAATATTCCCAAACTGTGTTCAGCTGTTCTGTTCAAAGGGAACACAGATGAATGTGTGTATATAATAAATATTAAGCCAATCAAACTTTTTGCACATTTACCACATTAACTAATCAGATCTTTTAAGTAAAACTAGCAATACCACAATGAATAAATATAAAGAAAGTCTCTCTTAAAGGTCCAGTGTGTAACATTTAGGATATATTGGCAGAAATTAATTATAATATTTATAGTTGTGTTTTCATTAGTGTATAATCACCTGAATATAGGAATCATTGTTGTTAGGCTTGAGACAGGGCCTTTAAAATACATATTAGCAGCACATTGTACTTCAGTAAAACACTAATATTAAAAGTACAGTGGCTCCACTTAGTTACATTTTTTTACATTAAATGTGTACTGAAGTACTGTACATGAGTAAATATACTTAGGTAAATCCACCACTGCCTCATTGAACAGGTTAAGCTTGCAACTGGAACAAAGCCAGACGTCACATATATGTATAACAAGTGCTAATGGTTAGCATGGCGGCCTTCCAGGTAGTACACTTCGACTGCCAAAGTACTCAAGGTTGTAAGGGGACTTAAGTTCAGAATTGTTTAATGATCCACAGACGATGTTCAATAAGTTTTAAATTAACTGGATCATACTTACTTACTGCACATTATGAGTTACTCATTTGATGGAAAGTTACAGTGGTAAGGCTCCAAGTCAAGATGATGCCCTTTCTTAATGATTATATATTACATTATTATTATTATTACATATTTTAAATGTGTTTCAAAGGGGATAAACATGAACTCAAACCTTAAAAGCGCTTTTCTGCCAAAACTACTTCAGTTTTTGCTCCGATAACAACATTTTGATAATGTAAAGAATATTAAAATGTTTTTTTTTTACATTTAACCTTCAGAAATAATATGTCTGAATACAAGCAGCTGTTCAAGAAATCAGTCTAAAAGAGTGAAAATTAGGATTTTAAACTTCTTTTAAAGAATAAATAAATCTGTAGCAAAAAAGATTTAGATCTGATACCAAACCCCATCTCGTCAAACAAATGTGCACTTTCCTTAACTTCACTTGTATAACAAACCTACTCAAATTACTAAGTGGAAAAAAAAATACATATATTTTACAGCTATACACAATTCTTTATTTTCAAAGACAGTCACATATTCAAGATGTGCTGAACACCACCACAGACAATGAAGCTAACATGTGACCAAACACTGCAACGGGGTTCATCCTTTCTCTTCAGGACTCTTTGATCCCACCAGCCACATCAACAAATCAGTGACCAACGAGTCTGCGCTGCTTTAATTTTGTCCATCGTCCTCCTTTGACACCAGGACTTACTGGAACATGCAATCATAAGTAGGAGGACAGTTGTCGATGTCAAGTGGCTCTGCACAGGACGCTGCAGTGATCATTAAGTCTGTCACCACTTTTGGGCGCATCGTCGTTTGAGAAGCAGACAGCCTGGAGTTGGGGCTTATTTGCCAATTCTCTGGACCACCCAGTCCTGCTGGCAGAGGGGACAGCGATTGTTCTGCTTCACCCAGAGGGACATGCAGCAGTTGTGGAAGGAGTGGTTGCATTCTCCCCATACAACTGAAAGAGGAAAATAAGAGCGGATGAGTAACAACAGGGAACACACTGCAATACCATCAGCTTAGGTTACACACAATATCAGTCCCTTCAGGGGAAATGATTTCACAGCAGCTTTTATAAATGATTGTCCAAATGTTTTTAGGCTTTTTGTTTCGCTGTGAAATTGCAGGAGGTGAAAATAGCAAAACTAGTTCCAATTATTCTTATTATTTTCTGCATAATAACGTAAAAATTGAAGGCAACTTGTTCCAGTGAGAATAAAATCCAACAGTCTGACACAACTTGAAACAAGAAAGTGAGCTTGGTGACAACGGTTGGAGCAGGAAACTACAATGTTTGGTTAATTTCGCCTTAAAGTTGCAGCAATTGGACACAATTGCAACATCACAGCTTCCTGGAGGGACTGTATTAAAAACGTACAACCTTATTTATTGTAACAGCGAATAAAACTCACTTACTTTACCTGTAAAATATATACTTTTATTCATATTTTAAGATCTATTTGATGCTTTTCCTAAAAGCACAATCATTCCCATCTTTGTCAGGCTTCTGCACAATCAAACAAAAAAGTAATTAACAGTTCTTATTTATTAATAATTTCACCACATTAATCCTGAGAAAGTGTGTGTTGTACAGTTATCCAGTAAATCACAACACCTGGAGGCTAACTGCATCCATTTGATTTACATTCAGCGAGCAGAAGTGGAAACCCTCTCTTCCTCTGTTATTAGCTGTGTCTGTGTATTTGACAGCTGCCACACACACACACACAGGCTACAGCTAATATTAGCTCCACTGGATTAAGATTAAGAGCTGCTGCTGCTGCTGTAACGTGTTTTTAAACGCTGACATTATCTTACCCACACAGTCCTCCTGTTTGTTCTCCGCCTGGCACCGGAGACAAGCGTCTGAAAGCAAGAGAAACAAGTTACAGCGGCTCTCTTCACAGGCGAGCTGCTGCTCTCAATGCTAACATTAGCCACGTTAGCTACGCCAGCCCGTGTCCGAGCCGAGCCGAGCTGAGCTGAGCTGAGCTATGAGCAGTAACGCCGTCGGTTCCTCACCCATCACTTGTACCCGACAAATGGCACAAGTATCACACTCCACGTCCCAGCTCCACATGGCCACCGCGTTCCACTTCTTCAGGGAAAACATCTTGTCCCCGCCCGACTTGGAGCCTGAAGAAGTGTTGTGAGAGAGGACTAAACCCGGCTCCTCACCGTCATCCATCTCTGCTGCCCAGTGTCTGGAGGAAACGTTAGCCCGGGCACATAAAGATACACAAAATGGACGCGACGCTTGACGCCTAGCTGAGCGGCGCTAATGCTAGCTGGGTTTAAAGCTGGCGTCCTGTCGCCATAGCGACGAGAGAGGGCGCTGTTTTCTAGCATTTGAAGTCTGTAATGAGAAATACAATATATATATATATATATATATATTGTTATATATTGACCAGTGGTGTAGTGGGGAAGTGGGGATACTCTTAATTTATGGCCCAAACTTTTTTATTTATTATTCTAAATTATAAATGTATTATTTTAAAGTGGCCCGTCCAGCAAAGGATAAACAAACAGGGACTTTCCCAGTAGTAACTTATTAGCACAGTGTCACTGAACTTGTGCTGCTTCACTTCAGGGATTAAGGATCATTATAAAATGTAACATTAACCACAGAAGAGGAGCAGATTTTGCCAGATCAGTACTGGCCCACAGAGAGGTGACATAACTACGTAATGAATTATTCTTTATTAATTACTCCATCCACTCAATGTATTCCTTCATCATCCTTCAGCTCACAGACCACTACTGAGTGATGTGCATCAGAGGGGATTTATACTCTGTTTACATGTGTAAACTACTGCACTAAACCACTGAAAGTAACATACATCAAAATAGAAGAAAAAAAAAATAAGAAAAAAAAATAGCAGATGGATGACAAACACATGTTCCTTTTCTACTTCAGCTTTATTATTATACCATATATGTGGGTTGCAGTTAAATAATAGCCTAAACATAGATTACACACATGTAGAACTCCTCCATTTACTGTTAGCTGTTTAAAATAATATTTACATTTAAATACACTAGTAGTTGGCCAATCTTCAAGTTCACTATGTACAAGGTGCATCCCCTTTACACTGGAAGGTTTATTCACATTGATGAATTTATTTTTAATCTACTTTCTTTGGTGAGTCCTGAGAGAAAAATATTGGTGTAAAGAAATGTGCAATATTCTGAGAGTTCTTTCAAAATATTGCATTTGTTTTTTATAGAAATATTTTTGATTTAAGGTTTTACTTTCCATTATGTAGTATTTGACCTGGATTTAGGTTCTGTTCTTCTGTTATTAACTGTCAACACAATAGCCAGTTTGAAGCCAGATTGTACCAGTTGTACAGTGACATATTGCCTGATACCAAAACACTGATGCAGAGGAAAGCAACTGAATGCAGGAACTTAAAAAAATGATCCAGTCAAGTGTCGAACCAAAGAGGCCAACCTCTCTTTTCTAAACATTAAATAATCCTGATATAATAATAATTAGAATGCCTGTGGCCTTCTTAACCAGGAAATGACATACAAACTGACTTTAGAACAAATATATCAGTGTACAAGCAATGATAAAGTATTTACTTCAACTTTATTGGTATCTAGCGGTGAAGAAATTGTTCTTTGTTCCTTTAGACATTGATATTGGCCCAGAATTTCACAATCAGTGCATCCCTAGCAACATCTTGACTCAACCAAGCACGAAGGAGAAACTACTGTGAACACGAATCTCTGTTCTGCTGTACTGTAAACACGGAGGTTCAACATGGCGGACTCCGTAGAAGAAGACCCGCTCCCTCTGGAGATAAAACGGCTCATTCTAAGGTAACAAAAACATAACAGTTCTCAGGTGATTAAACACTAATGAAAACATACCTATGAATAGTATATTCCATTTCTGCTAGACTTCTAAATCCTAAATGTTACACACTGGACGTTTACTTAGGGTCCTTCACTTTTAACTTTCAGTAGGAAAATAAATGGTTATAAATGGTTAAGTATGTTTGTTGTTTGTAAGTCTTTTTCCATCAGAAATAAACCTCCTTGCATTAGATTCTTATTTAATAACCCCTTGAAAAGTCAGTCAAATCATTATAATGGGTAAATACCATACATAGTTAAATGTCCCTGTGTATAACCAAGTGGAAAGATATAAAACCCTCATTCACTCTGAAAAGAAAAATACAATAAGAATTATATACAAAGCTGCTTTTGTTGATATTTTAACACTTTAATAATTAATCTATGCCTGATTTTTATTGGAACGTGTTCAGCTACTCCCTACCTGTACTTGTACTTACATACAAACATCTTTCAGTACATTATGGCTGTGTGGATGCTCATTCCTCACTGAATTTACCACCAGAGGTCAGATTGTCTCGTGTTTGAACCGACTTTCCAATAATGTCCCGTCCTATAGAACCTCCTCAAAGTAGTTAACCTTCTGATAGGGTGGCATACAGATCAAATAAATCCCCTCTGTATTTATGAGTAGGAGCTGCAGGTGTGTTATATCTTTCACGTGCATCTGCAAATGTCATATACAACTGCTCATATATAGTTTTTTTTCTATCAATCATTGTGTAGCTCTCCCACAGTGTCTCTACATGTCAGACCCAGGATCAGCGGCGTGCACCAGGGCATGAAAGATGTGTTAAAGGTATAACAAGGTACTGCTACTTCAGGATGATTTTTTTGTGTTCTGAATGTATACTTTAAAGAAGAAGAAGAAGATATACTTTATTAATCACCAATGGGGAAATTCTTTTCAAAGATTTTACTCACCTTCTCCTCTTGAATGACACTTTTAAAATGTGTAATCATTCTTCACATTAAAGGGCCACACTGTTACCACTTCACTAAAGCACTAAATCTCACAGTGAGATAGGCTGTGATCCAGATGTCTGGAACCGGGATAAGTAGAACTAACTCCTCTTATCTTAACGTGTCAACCTATCTGTCTGCTCCATAAAAACTATTTATTAAACAATATATTTCCCTGGCTCATAATTTCTTGTAACTATGTCCAGCTGGGATTTGATGTATATCCATGACGACTGGGTGGTCTTCGAGGAAAGGGTAAACTGTTAAGTAAAATGTCACTAATACATATGAAGAGTTATTAGCCTGCATAATCGTTGATGCTCTGGGAAATATTTTTTTAAATAAAACAGGTTAGTTATTTATAAGCTTTCCTCTTGTACTTGCTCTGGACATAGAGGACATTTTACATTCAGTTGTATTATCTTTAAATGATGTGTCTTCATCTGTTTGAGTTAAAAAAGGACAAGAAATCTAAAGAAGATATACCTGCAGATGAACTTCAAAGTTTGCAGCAGGATTTCAACTGTTGTTTTATCACAACCTACATGATCCATGTCATGACACTACATCAAACAAATATAACATGTTTTCATGTAGCGCATAAACAACATTACATGTTCTCTGAGTATTTGAGTAAAGGTTTCCCCCCTCATCTCTCAGACTTTCTCCAAGTAACAGGCTCAATAGTCATCACAGTGTTCATTTTACATGCTTGTTGCATTTCCTTTATTCATACTGACAAGGTAAAGCAGGCAACTGCACTTCTGAGGCTCTATCTCTCCAGGGCCCCGAAATGCTCACTCAGAACCTGGTCTGTGCCAGTTTAATTAAAACTTGTTTGGGAATATGCACCAGAAAACACAACATAAGGAACCTTTAAACTCACTTCTGTGCTCAAATGTATATAATCTCTAATTAATGTATTTAATAACCACACAGCACTATGGGAGCGAGGACAGTTGTAGCATAGAAAAAACTGTACACATTTTCTAGAGAGTGGGAGGAACAAGGGGTTAAGAGGGGCCCAGAGGCCAATTTTATCCCCTGTCCTCCATGGACGCCCTTTTCTAAGACCATGCCACGTTTTGGGGGAAATAATCGTGCTTTCACTTAACGAGATCAACAGAAAAATGCCCCAAAAGCTGTTGTGTAGCAGGTTGTAAAACAAATAAACATACCAATCCAGATCCCATCATTCCTGGAAGGAAATGGATCCCAGAAGGAGAGTTGTTACAGCGTACGAGCCTCCAGAGAATGCTAACTCTTTATGTTGGCAGAAGTGGACTAAATTCCTTTTTGATGACAATTAATATGAACTCGCTTCTGTCGTTTCAGTGAGGCGGAATAAGAAACTAGAAACAACTGTAATAATAACCAAGGCTTTCACACTGAGATTTGAGATACACAAGATACATTTTTTACTGTCAGTGTGCTAAATGATACTGATGGCAGTGTCTGTTGTTGGATAGCTGGCTGGAGTACAGTCATACAGTGTAGCATCAGTAAACGTCACTGTGGCTGCAACTTAATCTCTGCTGACTGATCAACCTCAATTCATTAAGTTCATTGACTTATGCCCGGTCTTATTTATGGTTAATTTGGCCATGCTAAGCCATGGCTCAACTGTGTAATAACAACGTCCCATTATGCACACTGGCCTAAAAATACTTTTCCCCATATGATTACATTATGAAAGAAGCAGCTGTAAACTGGTGGATGTGTCATAAACCCTGTGAAATGTTTGTTTCACTATCAGAACTCTATCCATTCAGTCCAATAACACTCGGAAAGTCAAGAAGACAGACTTGATTAAATCATTTTATCCCCATTTAAGTTAGCCCAACCAGAGTTTTCAGTGTGCTCTATGGGCCACATGATGTACCAGGAAGTCGAACTTTGTTTTTGGCTTCATGCGCCACTAAGCAGCTTTTATAAGAATGAATGGAGCCCCGCCTCCATGGGCCCTACCTACAGATAAACTGACGAACATCTGTTTTGAAGAGGAGATGTGTTCATGTACAGCATATCCCACCTCCTCATCCTGCTGCAGCAGCACATGAAGCCCATGACAATTTGATTTACAACAAACAGGGTCGAATGTCGATCTTTTGAAAAGAACGCCTGCTATTGTATATCCTCAAGTGTTTTGACAGCAGTAGATAGGCACATTTCCGACCGCCCTTGAATGCAGCAGAGGCCAGAGCACACACTCTGCACACAGAGCTGCACTGAAGGAGACCTGCATCCACATAGTAGATGCCTGTGACACTCCGGACTGGCCGAGCTTTGAGAGAAGATTTGTAAGCCTGACCTGAAACCTGAACTGGTCCCAGACTTGTGAAGCTGTCAGAGGGAAATTTCACAGGAGAGGATCTATCATGACTGCAAGGATCCAGGGAGCGACGGGCAAAGACAAACCAGTGCCAAAGAGCAGAGCAACAGGTAACTCACTGGGAGTGGGGATGGTGATGTGGTCATGTACCTGGGACAGTGACAGAGCTGCATTAAATATATGTTTTACCTGAATTACTATATTATTCTTTACGTGTTGGATTTAAATCTTCTTGTGGGCTAATGATCTCACAGTGACTAACTTCACTTCACTTTTCAGTAGGCTGATACTGTAGCCCAGATAAATGTGTGTTTAGGATGGTACACGGCTCATTTCACATGCAGTTGCAGTTGACAGATTTACTTACACTTCTCAGCCAGCAACAATAAAAGTCGTTTCATATGTAGCAGTGGGATACTCAGTTCAGGCTCCTGAAGAGAGGTTTTTTAAACTAATAAACTAATAAAAACTCTCTGACAGAGACTGGCAAATAGCCATTAATTTTACAGTGTATACAACATATGTTCTGGTTTGAGGTACACACTTTTAGTTCATTACAAAATCTCAAATGTCATCATTGATTATGTATTTTGTATGTCTGCCTCTATCTTTGACAATTTAACTAGAATAGATATGGAGTTGTGTACTTTGATGTTTTTTCTCTCTAAAATTAGGATGACCAGTACCAGTTTTAGGGTATTTCAGGGTTGGATTATTTACAACTGTAATCATGACCTTTAGTAAACAACAACACAGACAATAAAGACAGCAAATGTGTTCACGTTTTGAGGTTTTCAGTGTTATTAAAGCTTTATTAAAAACAACATACCTAATAAAAACAGCCATTGTAGGTGCAGTGTATCAGAGGCCGTTAGGTTAAGGACCACAGCTTTGAGTTGGTGGAGTTTGCATACGTCCATATGTTTGCATATGTGCATGTGGCTTTTTCTTTCTACAGTCAAGACAAATAACTCTGGTGGTAACTCTGCTGATAGATTTGAGTGAATGTTAGAAAATGAAGAAGACAGGGGGGGAAATACTGTGGTTTTAATAGACATTGGTTGGTTGTTTTCAAATGTATTTAAAATTGGATACATATGTTTGCCAGCAGCAACCTTCTTGAAGGGCATGTAATGAATACAGTGAGCAGTCCACAACAATTACCCAAGTATTAAGTAGAGACTTCTTCAATACTGAGATTTGAACTTGGCATTTGAAAGCAACAAGATGAAGATATAAGGTTTGGATCCTTGTTTTTTTGATTAAATGAAGTAAATAAAATCAGGTTTAAATTAGGTTTGTTGACCTTCTAATGAAACTACACGTACTGTATGCAGGTAGATAGCTGCCAATAGGCTCACAGCTAACAAGCAGCCTAGTTTATTGTGTTAAATGTGTCCTGCACTGTGCCATATAACATAACATGACTGAGGGTTTGTCTGTCCTCTGTGGCTTGCAGAGATGACGGTAAGGGTCAGGAGAGCGCTGTGGCTCGTACTGGGCATGCTCAGTCTGTCCCTGCTGCTGGTGCTGCTGGGAGTCTACACCACAACCCGAACAGAGAGCCTGAATGTGTCTGGCTACACCTCTGGGGTGATTGTAAGTTGTTATTTGTCCCTCGATAATTCCCCACCATGATTTATTCAGTGAGATGGCAGATTGATATGATAAGCTACCAGGAAATAAGGAAATACTTTTTACAGCATAAGAAAACATCCTCCAGTGTGTGATAATCCATCATGAGGCTGCAATATGTTAGTCTTGCTTTGCTGATTTACCCCCTTTCCACCAACACAAGCCTAGTGCTAAATCTGGGCTGGTGTGGAGTGTCAGTTTAGGGTTGGTTCAACTTGCAAACGTCAATGGAATGAACATTGAACTTCACATTGATGTTTAATTCATAACATCTAACTTATGTTGTGTAAATTAGTAGCTCGCTGAACAGCTAATAAATACATACAAATACATACAACGTGCCCCCTCATACACCCCTGACGTAAAGCAAAGAACTGACTCCAAACCGGCCCTCAAAAGGGGTAATTGTGGTCTTCCTTTATCGTCTGCTTGAGACAGACATGCTTTTAGATAGGCTGTGACATTAATGATCGACAGTCCACATGAGCACTTCCCAAAGTGTTTAGACAGGCGCTTGGCTGACAGCTTTTCTTCCAAGTTTGAAACTGGACAAACATAATGGGTCCAGAAGAAGTACAGTAGCGTCCAATTTCTCCTAAATCAGTTTCTGGATATACTGTATCTGTGGTGAGACTTTGAGTCGTGCAGTTACAGAGCCATCATTCATTTTTATATCTTTCGACCTTTTGCAACAGCAAGTAACATAAAACACACTGTATGCTTTTACCCCAAGAGCTCTTTTCATAACTGTTAAGTACTAATGTTGGCTTTTCTTTACTTGGAATAGGACCAAATCATAACAGTGTCACAGTTCCCGTGAAAATGAACCATATTTCTCTTTTGTTTATTGTATCATGTTCTCTGCAGCTTACCCTCGGATCGTTCCTGGGCCTTCTGGGACTCTGCCTGAAAGAAAACCGCAAACAGCTGGTATACTCTCTTACTCTCCTTGTATCTTCTCATCTGACAGCATCACACACCTACATCCTCTGTCATAATTCTTCCTCATGTTTGTCTGTTCACACCCAGCCCCGACTCACCAAAAGGTAGTGTAAATGGACCAAGAGAGATACAGTTTGTCGGCACAGTTACCAGTTGTGCTGCTCTTCAACGCATGTTCACCTATTCACTACTCACTAGTTAACTCAAAGCAGTAAATTCGGATTTATTTATCTTAACATTTTGCGTCATCAGTTACAGTAATAGTTACACAATAGACCAGACCGGCACATACGGTTGACCACGCTCCTGTTTGGGGATAGAAAACCAAAGATTTTATACATGTCCATACAATTTGTATGCGTTAACTTTGTTTTATGGACATGTGTGATAGTTATTTTGTTGTAACCTTGCTGGGAATTTGCGATATCTTGCTAAATTAAGGTTAATTGGTCAGCCGTGGTGCCCCTTTAGTCTTCCCCTGTCCAAGTGCGTCAATCAGACCTGCCAACACCAACAATTTTTCCAGGTTTCTCCCTAATTTCAAGGCCATCTCCCAGCAGCCTCCTGTTATGTTGTCTCTCCTGTGCTCTCAACATTATTATGAACAATCGTCATATACAGATCCAGGTTTTGTATGTTTGTCTGATGTCGCCCAGAAGTTACCAGATTGTCTATGAAACGCAATTTACACACTACATACAATTTCATCCCATCTGTAAGCGCAACCTGGCAACACACACAACTCAGGATTCAAGGAGCGTGGGCGCAGCTAACTTAACACTGTTAAAATGTCAGAGCAAAACGTCGATCCACTTAAAAAACCTAAATAGACTTTCAAATTTAAGCAAAATTGGATAAAACTACCCATACTCCACCAGAGCTAGCCATCTCACCAGGATCAATTAGCTATTTACCAAACTGAGAGAGAATAATCATGTATCTTATGTGTGAAAGTGTGAAAGCTTTGGTCATTAATACAGTTGTTTCTGGTTTCTTATTCAGCATCATTGAAATGATAGAAGGTAATTCATATTTATTGTCGTCAAAAAGGAATTTAATCCACTGCTGCCAAAATAAAGAGTTTCAATCCTCTGGAGATATGTACATTCTGACAGCTCTCCTCTTAGGATCCTATCCAGGAAGGATGCAATCTGTTTTTTCTGCATTTTTCTGTTTCTCTTTTAATGTAAAAGCACGATTCTTCCCATCAAAAGGCTGCGTGGCCTTGACATTGGCTCGATGCGGAGGTGTCGTTTTGGTCTATGGTAATTTTCACATTAATAAAATGTGGTACAATGCAGAAAATAGTCTAAATGCCACTCTTTTTTTCTATTGTGACATTTGTTATGGCCCAATTTAGTGTTTAAATGTTACACTAAAATCAAATAGCAGTTCTTTGTCATGCCTTCATCGTGTCTCATACAGATGCACATGGCACCCTTTAACATCTGTATGCACTGGGCTGCCTGAGAGCCCCTTTGACATTTGTTTATTGTTGTGAAATGGTTTAGGAAAAGATCAAGTTTTATGTAAAAAAAAACTCATGGACGGTGATGCACATAATGTACCTTAAAAGTTAAAATAACTCAATGTTTACTTTTGGTTTAACATGCGACATGAACCCCAGTCTCCTGGGTGAAGGTCCTGTTTTTGTTTGAAAAATATTTCTGGAAAAGCGGGGCTTCGGAGAAGTGGGCTTTTGTTTTTGGGGCTAACAGGCTGTCTGACAAATGGGCTTTCAGTTTACTGGACTATTGGTGATCCTTTTTTCAAAGCAACATTGCTGCATTGTTTTGTGGGTTACAGATTATGTTAAAGAAAGCCCCGATCATGACTATCTCATCCTAGTATTTCCTCACTGTGTGCAAGCTGGATAGTATTTAAAGCAAATGTGAGCTCTGTTCTCTGACTTTTATTTATTATGTTGTTAGACATATGAAGTTTTCTTATTTTAAAATGAGTCAGTTAGGCACACACAGCATTTTCAACCAGCTCAGGGACGTTAGCCACACCTGATGTATTCTGCCACTGATGGTCAATGGTACCTGACTAGAAATGAGGGACTGCTTTTGTCTGTCTATGTTTGAAATCATGATGAGTTTTAGGTGATACATTTGTCCCTGTATTATTGTAAACTTGTGTACTGTGTGACAGCGGATCAGCTTTACAGGCGCACCGACAATAATTCTTAACAAACATTCAATAATTGGGTTTGATTATATGATTGCCTAGATGAGGCAACTTACCACAATGTTATTTCATTCTTTACGAATAATTTGTAACGCATACCTCTGCTGGTCATTCTTAGCTGCTCACCACTGACAGAATACAGGCCGACAACTTGTACAAAAGTACAAAAGTACATCAGCTAACGCATTGTTGTTGAACAGTGTGGGAACAGGGAATTAGGTAATTTGATTTGTTTAAGAAAGAACCTTGTATGTTGTTGTTGAAGTAAATGTGCGTGCCTGCTGTAATCCTGTTGGCTCAAATGTTAATCAGCTCTTTACTTCCATCTATTAGATGTCATGTCTGGGTCAAATAACTGTGACTCTAATATAGTAGTTGTGATGTGTATTACATACCTTTTCCACATGACTCTGTTATGATCTCTGTGACCCCCTATCAATACCATCAGGCCACATTTTACTTGTGCACAGGGAGAGATTAAAATCCAATAGATACGTAGGAAGGACGATTTAGAACAAACAAAAAATCTGAGATACACTCAAGCAGCTTAACTTCATCCTAACCTGATGTGCTATCAAAGGATGCTCTCAACTCCTAGTTTATCTCAAAAATGTTAAAAACAGCAAATGATCTTATTCATGAGGAACGTAAGGTAATTTATGGACAATACTTCCATTTTTGGAGTTTTTGGATCGAGTTTGTCTTGCTTGGATTTGGTATTAAGTTTTTATCCTTTTCACTGGTGAGATAAGTTTTGTGATGAGAACTTAATAATGTTTGACAGTAGAATTTTTCATTTTTCATATTGAATTTATTACACCGATGATATTTTTCCAGGATATGGTAAATTGAGATTGTGATTAATGAAGAGCAGGAATGATGGGAAGATACTGTGCACAGTCAGTGGTTATAAGTGCTAACACAATTATCTTCCTCTGTCTGATCTCAAGTAGGCAAGAATAATATTATGATGTTGAAGAGTCACTGTTTAAACAAATGAGATCATATTTCTGTTCTGGGACTGATATTGGGCCTTCAGAGAAATTCTTTAGAGTTTAACCTGCAGCCTCTTTGTCTTCCTTCAGTGTCTATGACAGTTAACCTGCAGCCAGTGGAAAAATTATTACTTATACAAGTTGAAATATGACAATTATTCATCTTTTTTTATTCAGTTTTATTTTTATTTGCTTGCACATTAAAAACTGTAATAAAAGACATCATATGTACTCAGTGACATTCACGTACAAGACATACTTGTATCTATTTTATATATAAATATAGGTACAACTATAATAATTATAATATACATATTCAGTACATAAATTAAAAGTAAAGAAAAACCTGTACAGGAGAGGTAGGAAGCCCATGCAGGTGGAAATATCAGGACAAATCGATTAATATTTGTTCATATTTTC